GAGACTCTGTGAGTGTCGCGGGACACTCTCCAGTATAGCTCAATGGATCGCTGAGGTGCGCAAACCGTCACACCACGGTAAGGTCCAGTCTCTTCGTCCCAAGTATGATTGCTATTGTATATGTCGGTCATCCGTTTTCAGAATGATAGTCTACGCTGAGTTAGTTGCTGCGGTGGTGTGGTAATTAAGTTTCGTACGTATATCGGTACAACCCGACAAACTAGAAATCCAGAACTCAGCGAAGAGTGGCAACCAGCACGTATGTATTCGAATTGGCGAATATGTACAGCATATGGAATATTAAAACAAGAGAATAATGAATAGAGCAATGAATAGAGCATCAGTCATGTTCATCACAGGTGGGTTACCTCCAAACCCAAATACCTGCTTTCAACTGCTTCTTTTATCGGGTACAACAGCCTGTCTTCATTCGTCCCCTTCGTCAACACTACCCCGGTTTCATCTGGGATAGCTCGATCAGATGGGGTATCAGCGGCGTGCGCCCTGAACTTCAACGATGCTCTGAATGCCAGGTCGATGGTCGTCATGGATTCCACAGTGGTAGTCGAGTTGGCCAAAGCAAGTGGCTCTGCTTTTGCCATTGACACAAAAATAGGACTGAAGCAGCGCAGCTGTCGTTTCTCATAAATGTCTCATAGACGATGTATCACCAAACACTTGACCGTGGGAGTCTTATTGGAGATTCTCTTCAGTAAAACTTTTTCTGGGTTGTTGATGTCAGTGGAGCATTTTGGACAGTGAGCAAGTCAAACTTCATGGCTCTAAAACAACTAATGTTTGCAAAAAGACTGTCGTGCGTTAAGATTGACGACCACTATAATGTGACATTTGGACAGAGACGATTTTTCAAGTTATCCCCCCAATGTCGGTACTGGAGCCTCGTCCTTGAGTCTGTCAACAAACTACCCGCTTCCCACCTATCCGCTATGGAGATCAATCCCCCAGCCACCCTCGCGTCCCCTGTATATGGGTTTTCGATGCATTTCTGCATTGGCACTTATTGATGAAAGTGATCTCCACCGGTGTACAATCAACACAACCTCCGGGCAAAAACCAGTCAGTTTGAACTTCATTCCTTTACAACCCCAGGGCAATTTCGATAACCGGAGCCCCATTACACTACTCGAGTCTTCAGTAGTACCACACGCCCCATCATGTGGAACTTCAACCTTACCTTCTTCTACGGACTCTAGTTTCTGCACCGATTAGGGTAATACTTCCCACCTCATGACTTCTTTCATAGAGGTGCGATATACGTCCTGTAGCATCCTTTCGGTGTCTAACTGCCATACCACCCGAAGGTTGCACGAGGGCTGGGATAGTGCCAAGTTGACCAAACCTAGACAGGGAAAGTCGAGTGGCAGAGGTCGGGTTCGAACCACGGACCTTCCGGTCAGTAAATTCGCGCTCTAACCACTTGGGCCATCTCACCCCAGTGAGCGCTTCTTCAGAGGATTACTGCAACATACAAAGCGCGCCGCATCATATTTCAGATAAATTCAATCCGTTTTTTTTATTTACGGTCCTTGGAACAAAATCTCTTCAGCACCAGGCTAAAAGTAATCCACTCAGAAAGGAAAATATCCCATAGTTCGCATTAGCCCTCCATCGAGAAGCCGTTCAACACATGGCCACGTGATATGAACTGCGTGGTCAAGGTGAGTGGTACTATGTAACGCCCGAAACACTGCATAACAGTCAATCCTGGCAGTCTGTCACTGATTCGGATCTCCCGAGAGCCTAGGGAAGATGCGTACTGACGATGATTTATGGCAGCGAAACAGCTGTGCAGCGATTCTCGATTTTTCAACACAAATTGAACCGACCGACTGAAAGTTCAAAATCTCTTCATATTACTAGTAAATGTTAAGGAACAGAGTAAGCAGGTGTAGAGCATTGCTGCTGAAAAGCAGATAAGCATTGTGACCGATTGCTCCGAGGAAATCAATGTTACACTTTGAAGCGGTAACGTTATCCTCATTTGCAACCTTTCGAGTTCCTCATACCGAAAAGTACACCCTGTCGGCTGTTATTTTATTTTGATACAAAAATAATCGTCCGGTCGTGACACCCTTTCGGTGCCCGGAGGAAGCACGAGGGTTGTGATACGGCCAGATTGCGAGATGCCGGGTTTGGGCTCGAACCACAGAATTCCGCAATCGCCACTAAGCCGTTTTGAGCACCGGTGACCTGACAATACAAGCAAATGATATCACCTAAAAGGTCCGTGGTGTCGGACATTCTGTCGTAGGAAGGGAACAAACGGAGGAAGCATGAAGTGAAATCCACCCATGATGGTTCGAATGTCTGCATCGAGTAGCCTCATCGAATACTCAGTAGCGACTAGCGGTCCGGGGCATCTACACTTGGTTTTGGGCTGCCTATAAGCATAAGACTTCATTGTAGGACTGCAATGGAAATGGCTAATTGGAGCTACATATAAAAACAAAACGTAAAAGAACTGTCTATTGCAAGCACAAGCCCATCAGGCAACGACATTGCGTTCTCGTAACATCCCACAGACCTACCTACGTTCAGCAACGATGAGGAACTTTCGCGGCGATGGAAGTGACGGTTTACTGGGTAAAACGACAACCTTGCGAACAGGTTTGAGAGAGCCACAACAGAAACCAAACAAGACAGTTGCTGAACACCGTAACAAGCGGTTCATGCATGCAGACTGGTACGTTGCATATTACGACTAGTTGGGGAAGGTTTTTTTCAAGCCAAATAAGTCAAAATCTGGATTTCCCCTGAACGTCGAGAGTAAACAGTGTTTCATACTCACAATCATGCGAAACTGCTTGGCGATAGCCTCTGAGTTCGATAACTCTACAAAGTAAACACGAACGAGAAATCCTGCTGGTTAATCTGAAACGATCACAACGCGGTGAGCCATTTTCGCAAAACCGAAAAGACGTTAGACAGGTGATACAATCACGCATTGATGAGATCCTACTGATTACATGTGATTCCACTCGGATCTGTATGGAACAGCAGAACACACTACGGACGACCGTCGTAGTTCGTTAGACATCGAACTATGGTTGAACTGGTGCTTCATGATGAGGTCCTACTGATTACATGTGATTCGACTCGGATCCGTATGGAACAGCAGAACACACTACGGACAACCGTCGTAGTTCGTCAGACATCGAACTATGGTTGAACTGGTGCTTCCTGATTCTACCTCGGCGAGATGACCAGCGCCAGCAGTGGTAGGCTTTCGGCTCATAGCTTCAACGCAACTTGGAAGAGTGCGGCGATATTGTCAGACTGCACCAACATATAGAGGAGCAATCAAAAAGTAAGCGTTGGATTGGGACCACGAATTTAAGCCTCGGTAACGCTTAGCCATCGAGCTATTCCCATCCCTATCCGCGTACTACTGAGGAACCTGAATGTAAAAAGAAACCGTATTAATTAGTGATCCTTCTTTTCACACCGACTTGCTCTACATGGCGTACAGACAGCAGTTTCATCCGCTTTTCAAAAAATCCTTATTAGTCGTAAGCACAGCTTTAAACATAGTGACGGGTTTTCGAGAAATATTCATTTGCAAATCAACTTGGTTTTCACGGGAGACTCGATTGAATCTCTCGTTTATGATGTCCTCCAACTGAATGTGCTGCACACAGGCCGCCTCATGATTCAGATGGCACGATATTCGAGATATCGCAGGGCGAAACCGGTCGTGGGCTGTCGACGAGTTTTCAGCGACCTCGTGAGTAGTTTCCTCCATAAAAATATACTGTCTAGTTTACAGGCACCGAATAGTACCGACACGCTTTCTGTGCAACTAACACATCCGGTTCAGTTGGACAACCAACGCGGTCGTACCGTACTCCTCATTACAAGACAAACAGACCTCTGTGTCTCCCCGACTAGTTACATAAATCAAGTACCAGAAAGGACAATGGATGATGTGATATCGCTTTGATTCAGGTCCTATGCTGTGCGAGAACTATACGTCTTCCTTCTAGAACACCATAGATGAAGAAACAAAATCCGGAGTAAGAAAACACTTGCAAACTCCGGCCCATAGCTGGTTCGCCATACCGGTTCGTCCAACCGACATGATGCCTAGTTATTCCGAGCTGTTGGACCCGGGACACTGGTCCCGACATCCGCTCCTGGTAAGGACATAACACAATTCACCCTGACTATAGTCAATACCCATTTCCAGGAGTGATGGTTATGTTGCAACGAAATCAAGCCTATTCCCAAACCATTCAGTTTTATCTAACCAAAAAAAGATGACCATCGCATCATCCCATTTACGGGGTTCTCGTGCGGTAACAGCTGTTTCGAACTGCAATCGATCAGGACTGTCCGTTGGCGGAAGCTACCATTGTTCCAAATGGTGCAAGACTTTGCAGCCAGGTCGGCACTGCGTTCGTGGCTTTCAGTAGATCGCATCATTAAAGCGTTCTTCTTACCGGCTTCAAGTATAGCAGTTTTACAGATCTAATGACTCGTTATTTCAATCATCCACAATGAATTGCCGTAGTTTTGTTCTGAACGATCTCGTTTAGTATCAATTTTGCACCCATTTCAGTGAATTCATGCCGTGTTTGGAAATCAAAGGTATTGTTTCTAAGCAATAAGTATCATACGAAGTGGTTTCTCTGAATACTATGGATGCTCTTCCCACTGTGATTGACCTGTACTTGTGGCCTCATTCAAGAGAACGGTGGACGACTTCCTTCCCTCTAAGTCCCTATGACGTTGCGAGCGGCGCCTTTCACGCAGAGCTGTCCGGATTCACGTTCTCTTCAAGTACCGGTCGCGCTCATTGACGACACATCACGCGGGCTCCGTTAACTTACACCAGAAGCCTCGAATGCATTTCTCCCCAAGTCCTAGGACCCGCCGAATAGAATTTGACTGATTTTTAATGTGGAACTGCTTCAGTGAGTGACGCATCCTAGAAAACAGAGACTTATCGGAACACTACACCAAGGAGTTTGCACGGTCATCTGACTGCTGGGTTGGGAATTCGACTCATCTGAGATAATCAGGTCATTTTGAACCTCGGAGGGACGCTAGTGATCCAACATTACTTGTAGTATGTTAGAACAATACTAGACCGTTCCCTCGTTAGATATCAACGTCATTCTGAGTGAACTTCCAATCTGAAAAGTCGTTACAGAATCCAGTCAAAATACGAGTCAACCACAGTGTTGGCAGCCGAATGGTTAAGTTTTCAGTTCCTATCGAGGAAATCGTGAGTTCGAAACCGGAGATTTGTGCTGATGATTTCCAATACGGTCGGAACAGCCGTAGAATGCTTGGCATAAACCAATTCAGCATACAGTACGAAATCTGGGTAAAAAAACCTCACTACTGACGTCAGAATTGGATGGCCGAATTCCACTGCTCCTGTTTGGGATTCACCTCATTAGAACTGTTGCGTGGAGTTGGTGTTACCGGGTAGAGTTAAGGATGCTGAGCACTGTAGGGGGGGGGGGTGGAAGTGCATGATCCGGCTCCATTTTCCAGTCAGCCGCAGAACATCCAAATGGCCAAAATTTGGAGACACTCGGCTTAAGCCAAACCATCTGTGTGTACACAAACACTGCTGCCTTTGTAATATCAAACGACCGCTGCTATTCGAGATGTCTACGAAGTTGGCCCATCCTCACATAGGAAGCAGACTCGGCAAGGTATCGTCCATCTGCCCTCCAGCAGATATGGTCGACAAAGTAATCGTGAATGCCAATAAAGCAGTAAGACCCAAGCAACTCTGGCTTACCAGCGCCCAATTAGTCATTAACCGAACAATGTAAGAATGGTGAGGTAGATAATCGGAAAAACAAGGGCGGTTGATTTCGTATAGCTGCCTTCAAACTGCCGGGGAAAACCGGTTTGCTCGAGCCCATGGGTGGTAAAAGGTGTCATAGAATACAGATGAGGGATAGTTGCGCGATCAGATCAATAAACAGGAGGCGCTCGGCGGTCTCACCTCCGTTTTCTGACAGCATAGTCGGATGGTGCGCGTAAACTTAGGCGTCACCGTCGCATAAACGAGGGTTGACGAGTGACCGCAGTGTTGTTTCCGTCTCCCTGGATGGGGACCACGGTGATTAGTCATTGTCAGACGGCCTAGTCGCACCCACAACGGGGCGATGTGGCTGTGGTTGGAGAGCGAATTCACTAACCGGAGTGCTCATGGTTAGAACCCGACTACCGTATCTCGACATCTCTTGTCTGGGCAGTATGTCAGCCGCCATGCTTCCTTCTGGTAGCATGGCAGCTAGGCACGAAAGGGAGCTACAGTTGGGGTTTTTTTTTCAGTGGCACTCGTGCATCCAAGCCATTACTTTCAATGCATTGCTCTACTTTCAATCGCCCCTATTGAAAGTTAACTGACAACCCTGTATTTCCGCGATTATATCAGCTACCGCCTCCATCTCCCAAATTCATCGGTGAACAAAACTGTAGTAGTTACAAGCACTGTGCGGCAAGTACGCGGTTCTCACAGCTGATGATGATGTGATAATAACAAGTACTGCACACTAGCACCTTATTCCCCTTGTTAACAATCGACGAAATAAGGCGCAAGTGAGATCAGGGACCAAGGCGCAAACCTACTGAAAGGAAGATCAGTGGTTCACACCTAAATCTTGCACCTCGACTACTCCTATTTAGGTTTAGGCAACCTGACAGTACCTCATCGCTGGCACTCCCTTCGGATGGCGTGACAGCTAAGTACCGAAAGGTAGTTACAGATAAACGATGGTTTTTGCTATAAAAAAAGGTGTGCGCCATGCGAAAAAAACATTAGGGAAACGCTCTTGAAGCACACATTTGCATACTGACCTACACACTTTCAGTAATCTTGATTACGTGTGGTTTATATGGGTTATCCTGCATGCACATCCCTACACAAGTTGCAGTGCTTGTTTCCCGAACATCTCTCATCTTTTCTAATATAATCAAATCGCTTGGCTTGATATCCACAGAAGGTCCAGAAACCAGGAATTCCGCCTGGAAGGCGAACTTCCTCAATTAGCGTGTTTCAAGGCTCTGAACTTGTGTGGAAACAATAGTGCTAACCTACCCCGTCTCGTTATTTAATCAAGCCAAATGTATAATCTTTAGAATTTAGCGGCAGACATCGGTTGCATGTATTCCAGGTTCCAATTAGCCCATGTAATTGACGAAGTTCCCCTAGTTTAAGACAAGAACGAGCACAGGTTTCCTTCAAAACATAGTATATTCCCGATTACCAGGCATCCGTAGGATCAGCATCCAGATTGCTCCACCCCCCAACAGGACCACCACCAACAGGTCCGAAGCCACCAGTTGGGATTCCCATTTCGCCAAGTCCTCCGATGGGTAGTGAGGGATCACCTACCCAGTTGTCGGCTGCATCATCAGCACCTGAAACGAAAAGCATAAGCGAATGACTCTAGAGTATCCGAATCCAGAGGTTCAGGGAAAACACGGTTTGTACTTATGCGCTGAACCTCGGTTACAGAGAGGGTTCAATAACGAAAATTGAAAAAGATATCTCTGTTTGTAAACTATTAAAATCGGCCGTAGTTGTGTCTACGAAAGCTTCACAGCCTCGTGGCGTAGTAAAACATTGGATAAACGAAACTCAGAGCCAATAAGCCACTTTGTTGTATGCAAATTCTTCGCTATTAAAAGTCCAACTCGAAAATTAGTCATCAGATGAGATATGCCAATTCGTTCGTTTCTTTATGAAAGTAAGTACATAGCCAAAGGAACAACGCGTGTTAACGGGCGAACAGATAGGAGCCGAAGCATATGACCATCACCGCTCAATAATATAGTATCATTTGAAAAGCTCCAAATTGTTCAGCTATTGCACCCCTTCGGTGCCCAACGGCCACGCCACCACCAGGAGGCTCTCGTACTGGTGCAGCTGTTATGGTACGTCTACACGAAAGAGGGGAAGCAGTTTCGCTCTAATTAGGACCCATTGCCAATGCTCATTTCGGGATTTGAACCAGACATGCAATGTGACCATATTACCAACACTGAACTTGCGCCTGAATTATCACGTCAGAACAACGCCTTGAGTTAAGACCAAACGACTAAATCAAGTAGCTCCTGCTGAGCAATTTTCGGGCCAGTTGTAGGTGGTTGAAAAAAAGTACAACTAGTGGAAAATTGTCCAGTAAGTCTCAAGCATCCGTGGCGCTACCTGACCAGGTGGTTTAGTCGGCTGACACATATAGAGGTCACTGGGCCGTCGCCCAGTCATGGGCAACCTAATCAGGTCGCTTAGGGTGAACACGTTTGCGCCAAGACAGGACTGTTCAAACGACAGTGACGTTGACACAAGTCCTACAATCACTATCACCGCTGATCCTTCACCGCCTTCTAAAATCGTTCAGCTGTAACACCCTTCCGGTGCCTAGCTGCTATGCCACCCGAGGGAAGCACGAGGACTGGGGTACTGTCAGGTTGCCCGAGACTAGATAGGAGAAATCGAGAGGCAGAGGTTGGGTTCGAACCACAGACCTTCCGGTCAGTAAATTCGCGCTCTAACCACTTGAGCCATCTCGCCCGCCTTCTGGTGTTACAGGAAACCTGGACCAGCGATCAACAAGCGAACTTCGACTCCATCGGGTGTTAGAGCAGCAACACACCCAGACTCAATCCTGGCGACCTAGATCTACAGGGTGTGTTCCACTAGTATCTCTAACCACACTTACTCCAAAAAAAACCCTGGTAGTTCGTGGACATCAGCAGCACTATCGTTGATAAACGATCCGCCCATTAGAACGCACGAATAGCTCTCCAAAAAATTCCATATAAAAGGCGGAGCTAAACTTATCCTCGAAGACCACTTTTTCTCCTGGCTGAACCTTGAATTTCCATCTCAACAAGAACGACACGGTCTTTGAAGGTTGAGTACCAGCTGCCCCATCTTCTGTGGTCACAAAGAGCATGGAGGGGCAAAGCTGTGAAAAAGACCCGGCTCGTCAGCACTCAATTCCCTCTTGAACACACAATGGAATAGCTTCTCATATTTAAAAGCCAAATATTGCGCCCTCCTGCCATTCTCTGGCTACCCACGTAGGACAATGTGCAAAACGCAAGTTTCTGAGACTTCAGTATCTGACGTTGGATCAAACTACTAGGAACGATGAAGCCAAATGCTCGTACCACAAGAAACCATGCCCCCTCAGAATATTATGGGTACGCTTCACATGTAGCACTCATACCATCTAACCATTTGTGCATAATTCCCTTGCTCTTTACGAAAGACCGATTTGGAGTTCTTCAACTGCAAGCGTTCTTCCGACTGCGATCCTGCTCCTCTGAAGTGAGAGCTTCCCTATGTCGAGTCAAAATGAGACCAGCTGAATCAATACAACACTGGCGAGCTGAGCGGTGAAATTGAGCAACATGTTTACTCTACTCTACTCTACTCCACTTAATCGACCGCACTTCACGATGTTGACTGAACTGTGTTGAGGTATGCCATTACCACCACACCCAACAACTATTAAATGCACCACTAACCAGTGAGAAATACCCACTGGCTATGCGACTGAAGTGGCCGAGACACAAGTCAATAGATAGACGCTTGTACTCGATCTGAGTTTGAAAATGGAGCTAATCAACTGAAATAAACTCCTATCACGATGAGGAGCAGATGACATGTTGAGGCTGTGTAGTAAAATTTACTACAAGCAGCAAATTTTGTCGGACGCATGGTATACAAACAGTGGCCAATCAGCAAGACAACCGAAACACAGAAGCCCGAACTGAGAAGGTAACGATTTGGCAACTAGCACTGAGTAGTGCTACTATTTTAGCGTCGTTTTAGCGAAACTAGTTTAGTCCTGTTACACTCATGTCTTCATGCTTAAAGACCTGTTCGATGAAGAACTCGAATGGCATAACGCTGTGTAGAAAAACTACACATCAACCCGGGGGTCCGAATACAAAATAAGAGATCGATGTTGTCATTTTCCTCAGTTGTAAACCGGCGTACATGTTGTAGTGGTTATAGTTGCCATTTTCGTTCGCCAATGATCTGGATTTGGAGGTGATGGTTGATATAAGTGACGCAGTCTCAGTAGACTTTTTGCTGGGGACGTCGGGAGGGGAAGATTCGCGATGAAGACGTGCGCACCGCTGAACAATGTCTATCAGTATCTCCAACCACTCTGTTCATAATCGGGATGCCCATCCAGGTACAATGAAGATCCAGAGAAACGGATACTTTGAAGAAAAATTAGCTCCTAAAAGCCCTTATCGTTTTACGGCGGTGAGCAACAGCACACTCGAGCACCTCAACTTCAGAATGTCAGGATTGCAATGCAGGCTCTCAGGACGATGAAGCTTCTTCCCTGGAAATATGCATTTGTACATGGCCCAGAACAGCGTAACCAACGACAGGAATACAAAACAGTGAGTACGCGTAGAGCCATAATGACCTAGTAAGTTAAGTCGTCACCACTGACAGCAGCACACCAGTAAAATACATCGGCAATTAACAGCACTCAGTCATAAAGGAAATCTCAATAATGCGTGAAAAGAGAGAAAGATAGAAATTTAGTGTGAAGAGAAACGATTGAGAGTAAAGTGCTAACAAATCCGGACATCATATTGAAGGCGCCATAGGTGAACTTGACCTAGTGTCCTTTGGGAACCCCACCCGACTTAGGTCACAGTGGCAGACGAACTTCGGTTAGGCTTTGATTAGGAATGCGCGCAAATGAGATCAGTTGTGTGCGATGTCCTGCAAGGTTCCAAACACGAGGACTCCAACAAGGAAGGCGCGAGATTCTCACAGCACCGTTTGATTGTAACAGCTTTATTTCACGTTGAAATATCATGGTCTCTCGCCAGCGGAACCAACAATCCGTTAGAACAGTAAACTACGCTTTCTCAATCTGATGACTGAATCTGTAGCTCTAGTGGCGTGCATTCGCTGCCAAGTGCCCGCTTGATTAAGCCTCGTTCGTACGCGCAGAAGCCAGCTAAATCTTACTATGCTGAGGGAACACTAATGATCAAAAATATAAAGACGCCTGAGACCCTCAGATCGGAGAGACGGAATCTCAACCATAAAGTAAAGACATCCTCACAGCTGCCCTGTATACGTGGAACTTCATACGCAGCAAAACCTGTTACTGACTCCATAAATGACACTGTTCACACCGTGATTACCGGTTGTGCAGCGGCCAAGACAAGGGAATCTGTCAACAAATTCAAGCACTCTATTCTGAAGTTTCATGGCAGCACCATTGGATCGCAGACCATAAAGTAGGACTTTGTACATTAAATTGCAAAACGCGTGCTAGACATTGATCCAACACCCACATTCCGCTTGACCATCGAAGTCTTCGGAGCATTGCCAGATTCTAGTGCGAACACCGGATCATTAATGCTCAAGTTTTTTGAAGACAGCTCGACCACGACTGAACAATTGATCACTTTCCATAGGTTGCGCTGGACTCGTGCTCTGTAAGACGGTCCACCGACTTCTTCGAACAGCCCTTATCACAAAAACCACTCGCTGTCAAAACTGCGTAGTTCTCGAGCAGTGGTTATGGATGCAACAGTTTACCAATTATTTGGGGAGGGGCATGAAAGCCACGCACTACAGGGAATATATGCATTGAAGGCAATAGCCCGGATGCAAGCGCGCCAATGAGGGCACAATGGGGCTGTCCGACAATGCCTCTAACCATTGATGAGTCCCGCCTAGGGGTTCAAATCTAGGGAGACAGCAGTGACCAGCATGGCTGAGTTTGATGTTTCGTTGCCAAGTCACTTTTTGACCTCCCTGACTAGTTTCCACTCTTTGCATGGTTGTGTGACAAGAAGCTTTCGAGGAAGTCGGCCAACTGGGATACGGAGCATCTGATCAAACCGGCACAACATACACAGCGTGATCTACCGTGGGCATCATACTATTTCCGAAAACCATTATACGCACTCCAGAACTTCTGACCCGTTGTTCCCACCAAACTTCGGCAATACTCCGAAGACATCAGTGGTCAAACACTGAGTCTTTCGACGTCCTCAGAGAGCAGCGTCCAGGCCATACAGTAATACGGAGCGCACCGAAACATTGTAAACTCGGTCCTTGACGGATAACCTGTGACGAAATATGGGTAGCTCGGGTGTGTTTACTGGTGGTTGATCAGATGGCAGTTGATCTGTTCGCAAGCCGATTGCCAAGCTCGACGAATAGTAAGTGAATGTGAGGTGATACAAGTTCACGAAAGCTGCTCCGACTTTCCCTATTCAGATGCGAAAATCATCATTTTACGAGACCACTGGGACTGTTACAGCTGCCCAGGTAGACAAATTTACCTACTACCTCAATCGGCTTCTCCGCAAGCATGAAGTTAGGATTCAAGTCCACCCGGAATCGCAGTACTCTGCAT